AAATTAAGACAGCTGTGATGGGTATTTTTTAAAGATTTTTTTAAAAATGATGTTTATGAGTGCTTGCCTGCATCTGTGTTACTGCTCATAGAACAGGAGAGCCAGGCATAAGCAACAGAGCTTTGTTCTCAGCTGTTGATTGAATATGTGAGCTGGCTTCTATGGAGCTTTACTCCATTCTTTATTTTTCCTAGAGTGCTTTGGGGTGGGGGAAGTTTGGGGATAAATCAGTGTTCTTGATGGATGTGGTTTTGAATTTTCATTCTTTGGTGTCTGTAAGCTGCAGAGATCACTATAGGCTAATGATATCCTAAGGAATACCACTTGACATTGAAGGCTCATTTTATTTTTCCTTTAACTGAAAATTTTAATTCTTTTTCAATTTCCTCAATTTTATAAAAAGAGATCACATAAAATAAGTAATTGAGAGCTGTGGTATCTAATATGTAGCCATAGGACATGTCTATTTAAATTCATTAAGATTAAATTCAATCCCTTAATTGTCCTAGTCTCATTTCAGGTGCACCATAGCCATGTGTGACTGGTAGCACTGTGTTGGAAAGTGTAGATATAGAACTTTCTGTCACTACAGAGAATTCTTTTGGACAATGCTGATCTAGAGAACTAGAACAAAATGGAAAAGGAAAATCTTGTCTCATGACCTCCCCCAACTGGCCTAAGGGGCATTAGAACTCAATACATCTTTCTTAACCTCTCAGTCTCTCTTGGTTTAACCTACTATGTGTTTGATTGAGGATGTGTTTTGTAACATACGTATGATCTTAATTTGACACTGACTTTGAGGTAAACAATGGACTGGGGACTTCGGAATAGGGGATTTCTCATATGTAGTTTTGCTTTGTTTAGAGACAGGGTTTTACTGTGTAACCCAGGGTGGTCTCAAGCTCTCAGTCTTCCTGCTTAGTCCAGACTGGCTTCAAACTTTGAATCTGCCTCAGTTATTTTTCTGTGATGCTGCTGCTGCTGCTGCTGCTGCTGATAATGGAATACCATGACCAAGGCAGTGTATAGAAAGAAGGAAGAATTTATTTGGACTTACAGTTCTAGAGGGTTAAGAGGCCATCATTGTTGGGAGGCATGACAGCAAACTGCAGGCATTGGGGCTGAAGTAGGAAGCTGAGAGCTCACACAGTCAATAGCAAACAAGTAGAGAGAACATACGGGAAGTGGCAAGGCTTTGAATTCATACAGCCTATCCCAGTGAGGACTTCTTCCAGCTAGGCCACACCTCCTAAAGGGTCCATGACCCTCCCCAAACAGCTCCAACAACTGACCAAATGTATTCAAATGTTCAAATACATGAGCCTATGGAGAGGACATTGCTCATTGAAACAAGCACATAATCCTCCTGCCTCAGCCTCCTCGTCTAACAGTATGAGTATGCTATCATGCGTGGCTGCCCAATTTTAGTGAAGATTCGTGAATTTTTTCTGTTGCTGTGTGACAGTAAATACTCTAGTATTTAAGTCATAGCACTTAAAGTTCTTATTTTCTAATTCAGGGAACAAACATTTTTTCCCTAATTTTTAGGAAAAATATCATAACATTGTCCCATCCAAGCCCAAAACTCAACAAGACTTCTAATTTAAGAGAACCCTTGCATATGTAGTTTCAAGGTTTGCATACCCTTTAAATGCACATCTGGATATTTTTGTAGAGTTTGTTCACATTTACGTTAATAGTTCTTGGTGAATCATAGTTTTCAGATCATGTATGCGTGCTTTTACTTTTGTAATCTAAATATTTGAAGGCCCTTGTGAAGAGCAGTTATTACAGCACCTACAGAATGGTGGTAAAATAGATATTTGTGAAACCTGATAGTTAATAGGAGAAAGAATTAATAATTTATATATGCACTTGCTGATTTTATTAAACCCTGGTTGGACACATATGTGTTAGTATTCTGACTTTATGCTCCCCAAATCCAATCCCATTGATTTTTTACTGTTTTTACAGGATAGTCATTCAATAAATGTCCCATAGCAAACAATTTATGAAAGGAAAATAATAGTTGAGGGAACTTCAATACAAATATTTAGTTGTTTTTTATTTATAGTTAAATAAAATTCTTTCTTAGTTTTGTATGAAAAACCATTATCTTTTTGTTTTTGTTTTGAGACAGAGTCTATACCCTGTAGCCTACGTTGGCCTGGAACTACTTCTGTTGGCAAGCCTCAGGCTTTCAAGTGATCCTCCTACCTAGTTTCCTAAGTGCAAGGATTATAGGCATGCACAGACCACACCTGGCTGAGTTTTTAAAAGTTACCATGGATAAGTATAACCACATATGGTCTACATAGTGAGTTCCAGGCCAGCTGGAGCCACAGGGAGACCCTGTCTCAGAAACACCAAAAAGAAAGAAAAAAAGATTTAAAATTTTCATTGTAGAGATCTTTGATATCTTTGGTCAGGTTTATTCCAAGATAATTTTATTTATTTATTTATTTGTTTTTTTGAGGCTATTGTGAATGGGAAGGTTTCCCTGTACTCTTTCTCTAGTTGCTTGTTATTGGTGAGATGTTTTTCAAACATAATGTTCCTTGAGATCTCTATGCTGGAGCCTTTGTGACTCACTAGTTAATATTGCCAAGTATCACACTCTTTAGATTTCATCTGACTTTTAGATAGTAATTCTTCAAAACAAACCCAAATCTTAAGTATTAATTTACATCGTTAAAAATAGGTTGTAAGATTGGCATGGTGGCTCATATCTAATGAGTCCTAGGCCAGCCTGGTCTACAAAGAGAGTTCCAGGCCAGCTGGGACTATAGGGAGACCCTGTCTCAAAAAGAAAAGAGTACATATAAGCTGGGCATGGTGGCATACACCTATAGTCCCAGCTCTTGGGAGGCAGAGGCAGAGGCAGACAAACCTCTATGGGATCAGGGCCAGCCTGGTCTACATAGTGAGTGCTAGGCCATCTGAGGCTATAGGGAGACTCTGTCTCAAGAAGGCCAAAAATAAAAAAAATAAATATATAAATAAGACCCTTTGGCCTCAGCTTCTGGCTGTGCTGGCTGGTATTAATTACAGTTACATGTCACCACATCTGTCCAGCTTTTTCAGTAATTTTGTAGTCTTATTTAAACTTAGGCAATTGAGAAAAAGTCCTTTTTAATGAGTAGTGACTTTGCTTATGAATTTCAAAGAATGTATAGAGAATAAACAATAGAATACCAAATATTGAAATTTTACTTTTTCTTTTTTGAGACAGAGTCTTTCTGTTGTAGCCTTGGCTGACCTAGAACTCACTGTACTGTGTAGACCAAGCCTCCCAAGTTGTTGGCATTACAAGTATGTGCTACTATGCCTGGCTTTTTAAAAAATTTAATTTTGTTGTAATTTTTGTGTGAAAAAGAGCCTGAAACTTGAAGTGGAGTTAACCACTGACTACACTTTTTGTTTTACTTTTTAGTATGTGTGTTTTTGAGACAGGTTTTATTTCGTCAGTCTGGCTCACCTCACACTGGTGATCCTCCTGCCTTAGCCTTCTGAGTGCTGAGATACAGGTGTATGCCACCACCCCAGTTTCTCTTGTCTGATCATACACTGAATGATTGCAATTTTTAATTTTTCCTATATATTTGAACTTTAAAAAATATTTTATTTATTATTTTGTGTGTGTATTGCCTGCATGTAAGTGCACCTGTGTCATGCAGTGCCCACAAGGACAGAAGAGGCTGTCAGATCCCCTAGAACTGGAGTAACGGACAGTTGTTAGCTGCCATGTGGATGCTGGGATTTGAACCCGGGTCTTCTGCAAGAGCAGCCAGTGTTCTTAACTGCTGAGCCATCTCTCCAGCCCCCATTCTTGAACGTTTTTATGATGATAAGATGGAAAAGTTTATTTCTAAATGATAAGAAAAAGTTTGAGAATATTTTAGGTCTGAGATACTGCTACAGGATGTGCCATTGTTTCTTATAAGAAGCTGTAATCAGGAAAAGGTGATAGGTGAAGGGACTTAGCAGAAGTGATACGTTAGCAGAGTGGTGGTGTAATTAATTGTTCTCTCTCTGAACTACTCAGGGCCAGAAGAAGTTGCAGATTTCAGAGATTTTTAGATTTGAGGATATTTGTAGACTTTACTGGCTGAGTATCCTTAACAGAAGTTTCAATATTATTTCTGGTTTTACATCTTCAGATTAAGGTTGTTCAGTCTGATAGCAAAATAATAAAAATACGAGTTGAACATTAGATTATAATATATTCTGGTGAAAATGCAGGATTTTATTTTAGAATGTCATTAAGAGGCCTGAAGGGTTCACAATTATATTAAAATTGGTTAATTGTAATTAACTGATTAAAACAAAAAGTTGTATTTTGTTGTTTTTGTCTTTTTTGAGACAGGGTCTCCCTGGAACTCACTAGGTAGACCAGGCTGGCCTCGAACTCACAGAGATCTGCCTGCCTCTGCCTCCTAGTGCCACCTAGTGCCTCCTAGTGTGCGCCACCATACCTGGCTGTGAAACAGAAAGTATTTTAAAGGTAGTTGAAAACCTGTTGTGATCCTCATAGGAAGAATCTATCATTGTAGACAGTTTTCTGATATAATTTTCTTTCTTTTTCTTTATGACCTGGATTGTTCCTCTTTAAGAGTGGTGAAATGGCAGGGAGCACTCCAGAACCATTTCATGTGTTCCTTTCTTGAGACCAAAAACATCTTGAAAAAACAAACACTTAAATTTGATACATCTATAAAAGGTGTTATAGCAGAACACTCACTAAAATAAGATTTTGCATGTGACTGCAAATGGCTGGTGATGTAGGAACTTGAACTTCTAGGTCACTTATTTTTAGTTCAAA